TTCATGGACATTTTTTAAAGTTCTTGTATAAAACACTTTCCATTCCTCACTGTATCATGTTTTGGATCCTAAAACAACTTAGTGCAGAGGTCAAATTTTGGAGTTCTAGGCAAGAGACAGTAAGCAAAAAAGAAAAAAAATTTTGAAGTTCAGCCAAGGCCCCAGTAATATTATGGAATACATGGGACCTTTACTGAAGAGAAGGCGATTGGGCCATTTCATGATGTGATAATCCACCTCTCAGCACCCAGTTTGTCACCTCCTTTCTTCCCTCCCTGTCCTACCTTGGTTCAGGCTTCCTCACTTTTTGTGTGGTTGTCATGTGGCTTTCTTCTCCATTCTAATGCGTCCTGGAGACCACTACAATCTCTGTTACTTTCTAGATGAAAAGTCTTTTTTCTTTTCTTTCTTTCTTTCTTTTTTTTTTTGAGACAGAATTTCACTCTTGTTGCCCAGGCTGGAGTGCAATGGCACAATCTCTGCTCACTGCAACCTCTGCCTCCTGGGTTCAAGCGATTCTCCTGTCTCAGCCTCCCGAGTAGCTGGGACTAGGTATGTGCCACCATGCCTGGCTAATTTTTGTATTTTTAGTAGAGACAGGGTCTCTCCATGTTGGTCAGGCTGGTCTCCAACTCCCAACCTCAGGTGATCCACCCGCCTCAGCCACCCAAAGTGCTGGGATTACAGGCGTGAGCCACCTCGCCCAGCCCCGAAAAATCTTTTAATAATTTTCCATTGTCTATAAGATAAAAGTCAGGCTGGGTGTGGTGGCTCAAACTCGTAATCCCAACATTTTGGGAGGCCAAGATAAGAGCTGAGAAATTCAAGACCAGCCTGGGCAATAGGGTGAAACCTGGTCTCTAGCAAAAATACAAAAATTAGCCAGTGTGGTGTCACACATCTGTGGTCCCAGCTACTCAGGAGGCTGAGGTGGAAGGATTCCTTCACCCTGGGAGTTCAAGGTTGCAGTGAGCCATATTGTGCCACTCCGCTCCAGCCTTGCTCGTTTTTTTTCAAAAGAAAAAAAGACCCTTTTTCAAAAGAAAAAACCTGAAGAAATGACTATGTGAAGGAGTGAATTAATTCATGAAAGAATAAAACTCTTAGCATGATGCAATGCAGGCTGGTGGTTATTGCCCCTGCCTGTCCACAAAGCTTTCTCCTGGCTCACAGAGTAGGCATGTGACATAGGGCTGACCAATAACATAATAATGCTCCTTTCCCATTGTCATGTGATTCAACTAGGGTAGTCATGTGACTGAAGCCACAGCAATCAGAACTCCACTCTTGTATTTTTTGTTTGGAGCTGTACAAGAGGCAATTTTGCCTCTGAAATCACAATAATAGAGGACTGTGAAATTGGGGCTGTCTGGTGAGGTGACTTATACCTATAGTTACAGCACTTTTTGGGGCCAAGGTGGGAGGATTGCTGGAGCTCAGGAATTTGAGATAAGCCTGGGTAACATAGTGAGACTTTGTCTCAAATACAACATAAAATAATAAAATATTAAAAATTATATTAAATTAAAAAGTTGGGGCTACAGGCAAAGACTTGGTGTATTAAAAGAGAATACAAATAACCAAACGGAAGAAAGTTAAAGAAATAGATGAGAGTTTGGAGTATTAGAGCCACTGAATCCCTATTACACCCTCTCTCTCTCTCTCTTTCTTTCTCTCTCTCTCTCTTTTTTTTCTTTCCATCTCACTTTGTCATTCAGGCTGGAGTGCAATAGTGTGGTCTCAGCTCACTGCAACCTCTGCCTCATGGGTACAAGCGATTCTCTTGCCTCAGCCTCCTGAGTAGCTGGGACTACAGGTGCGTGCCACCATACCTGGCTAATTTTTGTATTTTTAGTAGAGACAGGGTAGAGACAGGGTTTCACTATGTTGACCAGTCTGGTCTTGAACTCCTGACCTCATGAACTGCCTGCCACCCACTCGGCCTCTGAAAGTGCTGGGATCAGGCATAAGCCACCGCACCTGGCCCCTATTACACCCTCTCTTAGGGTTATCTTGATACCTTGAACTGCCTCTATGTATTTCCAAGCTAAGTGAGTCTCCCTTCGCCTTACTTTCCTAAAGCTTGAGAGTTTCTGTTTTGTTTTCCTGAAGGATGCTAAGTCATTATTAATTAATTTTATTTTTACACACTACAAACCAATGAGTCCTGTTTAGTACTACTGCCATTATGGTGCTTTCCTAGACACTCATGTCCACCTTGCAAAATTTCCTCCTGTTACTTCCCAATGTAAAAGCTCTGCTTGGAACAAACAGGCCTGAGTGTATCCCTGAGTCACCTGCCAGCTCTGCCCTTTGTTCTTTCTTGATCTACCTTCTGGGAAAGTTCTTCCACCATATCCCTCCTCTTCCACTAATGAGTTCAAATTTCACTTCCTTCTGAAGCCTTTCCAGCTCATTCAAGCCAGAAAAAATCACTCTCAATTCAACGCTACAACCAGCATCATTTCTGCCTTTTCTTGTACTTTGGATAATTATACTCAACTGGACTCTTTTTTTTTTTTTTTTTTTTTTTTTTGAGACGGAGTTTCACTCATGTTACCCAGGCTGGAGTGCAATGGCGCGATCTCGGCTCACCGCAACCTGCGCCTCCTAGGTTCAGGCAATTCTCCTGCCTCAGCCTCCTGAGTAGCTGGGATTACAGGCACGTGCCACCATGCCCAGCTGATTTTTTGTATTTTTAGTAGAGACGGGGTTTCACCATGTTGACCAGGATGGTCTCGATCTCTTGACCTCGTGATCCACCTGCCTCAGCCTCCCAAAGTGCTGGGATTACAGGCGTGAGCCACCGCGCCCGGCCTCAACTGGACTCTTACCCATCCAGAGGCTTCTTTATTTTCTAGAATGTTTACCAGAGTCCTGTGTACAGCAGTGCTCAATGAATATTTGGTGAGCGGATATCCCTTTAAGCATAGGTGATGGGTTTTTCAGGAACCAAACAAATCTTTCCAGCATGAAGATCACGAGATACGTGACCTGCTTCTAGAATCTGTGAAATCTTTTGATAATTCACCCATAAGCTCTACCTTCCCACCTCACACATATGTGTGTGTACACACACAAACACACTTCCTTTCCGAGGATAACAATGTAGGAACCTCTCCTCATAAAGTTCATGTGGGCTGGACGCAGTGGCTCATGCCTGTAGTCCCAGCACTTTGGGAGGCCAAGGCGGGTAGATCGCCTGAGGCTGGGATTTTAGGACTGGCATGGGCAACATGGTGAAACCCCATCTCTATTAAAAATACAAAAAATTAGCTGGGTGTGGTGGTGTGTGCCTGTAATCCCAACTACTTGGGAGGCTGAGGAAAGAGAATTACTTGAACCTGGGAGATGGAGGTTGCAATGAGCTGAGATCACGCCACCGCACTCCAGCCTGGGTGACAGAGTGAGACTCTGTTTCACACACACACACACACACACACACACACACACACACACACACACACACAAGAGTACATGTTAATTTAGAAACACTGGAGGGTTTCCATGGCAAATGTGGAACATTTTTAGATAGAGAATTGTGCTTAAATATTTAGAGATGTGATAATACACATAAAATGTAGGGGGTCTTAGCAGACACTTGGAAACACCAACCCCTCAAGAATGCAATTGAGATAGGAGAGATTTTCACTTTGAAGGTGATTATACTTGTTTGCAGGCTTTTCTTACTCCAGGCACATCCAGTTGGGAATTTTTTAAATGTGCTTCCAAAAGTCATTTCTAGAATCCTTTGGGAATGGTTTTGGCTTTCCTGTTGTTCAAGTGAATCCACATGGCTATAACACCTCAGGCAAAATGTGAACTAACTTCATGTTGGCAGCTCCACAGAGCCATGAGTTTAAGATCAGTCTTCTTGCTTTGGTGGTGGGGTTAAATTAGGGAAACAGACGATGAGCAGAGAGAAGGCAAGACATTGGGCAGGGTAGTTGTACAGCTGATTGTTTTTTAAAAACTACATAGGGATAAGAATGAAGAGGAGCTGGCTTTCTGTCACCTAATGTGCAATCTCTGGAAGGTATGTCATCCAGTTCTCTCTCTCCAAGTTCACAAGGATGCTAACAATTGTCTCAGACCTACATGAAAGAAAAACCTCTGGCCTTACCCCAAACCCATTGCATACTTTTTCTTTTCTTTCTTTCTTTCTTTTTTTTTTTTTAAAAGCATAGAAACATATTTTCCAGCAGGGACACTTCAAAGCAATTGCTGATTCATCGATCCATTCATTGAGCAAAAAATTATGGAGCATTTATTATGTGCCAGACATCATGGTAGATATTCAGGAAAATTAATAGAAATAAAATATGGTCCCTGCTCTCCAAAGCTGCTCATAGCCTTATAGGAAAGAAATATCAGGGAACACAATAACAACATAGCAAAGTAATGATCATATCAATAATGATATTGGGTGGCAGTAATTAAAAATGTAACACATGCCAGGCATGAGGCTGACCGCATTTATACATTGTTTCATAATTTTTTGAGATGGGATATTGCCCTGCCTCCCAGACTGAAGTGCAGTGGTATGACCTTGGCTGGCTGCAACCTCAATGTCCCAGGTTCAAGCGATTCTCCTACCTCAGCCTCCCGAGTGGCTGGGATTACAGGCACATACCACCATGCCTGGCTGATTTTTATATTTTTAGTAGAGATGGGGTTTCCCCATGTTGGCCAGGCTGTTCTTGAACTCTTGGCCTCAACTGATTCATCCACCTCAGCCTCCCAAAGTGCTGGGATTACAGGTCTGAGCTGCCCCACCTTACCTACATTATTTAATTCTTACAATACACTATGAGTTTGGTTATAATTCGTTTTACAGATGTGGAAACTGAGGCGTAGAGAAATTAAACAACTTGTTGAAAGTTAGAGAGGCAGTTAACTCTAGAACCAGGAAACCTAAGTTTATCTGCCTCTAGAGCTTATGATTTTAACTACTAGGTCAAAGAAAGCACAGAGAAAATTGGGCATTGACTCCCTGGATCATGGACCTGATCGTGGAAGTAAGGGGGAAATTTCCTGTGGGAATTAAAGGAAGCTGGGTGGGGTAAATGGTGTGACCCTCCTTCTGAGGAGCCACTTGGGTGGCCCGTGTGGATGGCCACCTGACATGGCTCAATCTCCACCATCTCTGAGCAGTGTGGGTCCCTAGGCCAGCACAAGTAGCCCTCTAGTGTAAACACCTTTGCAAAGATCGTAACAGCGAGAGAAGTCTAGCATGGCCGATTCCACCTTGCTGCTAGCTCACAGGCTGGCTGTCCCCACTCATTTCTGGGCATCGGCCAGGCTAACGATGGGAGCCATTGAGTCCATAATTTAGCTTTAAAGCAACGCTGAGGCCCTCTGCGCAGGCGCACACCGACAGCCACTTCCGGAACAAGCGTCGCGTTTCTCAGGAGAAGCCCCTGAGGAGGATTTCCCGAGTGGCAGTGGCTAGCTCCAGCGCGGCGAACGAGCGGCTCCGCGCCCTGGAAGACATCGAACGGGAAATCGGCGCCATCCTTCAGAATGCAGGTACGGTGATCCCAGAATTGTCCAAGGGAAAAACCAGGGAGCGGCTTCTAGACCGGCAGGCGGCGGCCTTCACCGCTTCGGTGCAGCACGTGGAGGCGGAGCTGTCCGCTCAGACCCGCTGCCTCACCCAGGTGGCCGCAGGACAGCCCCGTGAGGGCTCCAGCTGCCCTTCCAGGAAGGACGGTCAGAAGGCTCTGAAGCGAGTGGGCTATGCTCGCCTCAAGCTCAGTGATGTCGTTCGAACCTGTGAGCAGATGCTGGAGAACTAGGCCAGGGGGGTGGACCCAGAGCCCAGAGGGAGACCATCGCCTGCACCATGGGACAGAACCTGGGAACATGTAGGATGGGGAGCATGGGCATCTACATACCCTGCTGGTCAAAGTACACTTGGGGAGGCCGAGGCCAGAGGATCACGTGAGGCCGGGAGTTCGAGACCAGCATGGCCAACTTGGTGAAACTCCGTCAAAGGCAAAGGGGCAAATGGTGGGCATGGAAAAACTGAAGCCTGAGCCTCCCCACAGCTATGCCGTGGCCTCTCCAGCAGGGTGCTTCCCAAATTCACAGGCTCCAGAGATTAGGATACGGACTCCTGGGGGGCTGTTTTTAGAATTCTGCCCACCACATTAAGTTGTCAGTAAATAAAAGTACAGAATGTCCAGTTTAATATAAATTTCAAGAAAACAACAAATAATCTTTCTAGTCTGAGCATGTCTTATGCAATATTTGGGACATATATAAACATTTTTGTTGTTTACCTGAAATCCAAATTTAATTGGACATTCTATATTTTTACCTGACAACTCTAATATATATAATCCACTATTACCATACTTCCTTTGCTTTAGTATGCCAGAAATGCCCATTTCCACATGGGCAGAGATAATCGTTTAATATTACATATTTTGGTTTGATGAAAAGTTATGTTCTAATGAATCCACTTTCACATAGAAACTACTTTAGTTTATATCTACTAATTCAAAATTATTATGATTATTATTGAGATAAAGTCGCACTCTGTTGCCCAGGCTGAAGTGCAGTGGTGTGATCTTGACTCACTGCAACCTGCCTCTTAGGTTCAAGTGATTCTCATGCCTCAGCTGCCTAAGTAGCTGGGATTACGAGCATGTGCCACCACACCTGGCTAATTTTTGTATTTTTACTAGTGACAGGGTTTCACCATGTTGTCCAAGCCAGTCTTGAACTCTTAACCTCAAGTGATCCGCTCACCTCAGCCTCCCAAAGTGCTGGGATTACGGGCATGAGCCATTGCACTTGGCCAAAATTATGATATTTAAATGTAAGGGGAAGAAAATCGAACACTTCTGAATGCCCATTACATACCAAGCTCCAAACTAGGCATATAAGGAGGAAAAGGAGAGAGAGAGAGAGAATATGAATTATGGGCAAATATTCTACTTTGTGCCTCACAACAGAACTTGCACAGACTAACTGTATCAATCAGATACTCTATCTCCATTTCAAAAACTGTTTTAATCTTGCTTTTTTTTTAGTTTTTATTTTTTGGGTAGATGGGGCCTTACTGTGTTGCCCAGGCTGGTCTTGAACTCCTGGCCTCAAGCGATTCTTTTCTGTATGTTTGATGATTGAACATCCTGGGGCCTTGCTGACCCTAGAAAGAGGCCCCGTCTTAGGGCTAGCCAATTCCTAGAAGTAGGAACAATTTGCCTTGCAGCACCTCTTGCATATTGCAAACCAGTCAATCCAGAGCCCAGACTCTAAACCATCTCCTTCCTCGGCCTCTCGAAAAGCCCTCACAGTCAGGGCCACTATCTACCATGTGTCCTGTTGACCTCAGGACCAGTTACCAAAACTAGGGGCATCTCCCCTAACCCCAAGGCCCACTGAAATTATTCAAACTAGCTACTAAACCTAAACCTGCTTAGCCTGCTTACCCTGCCTAGCCTGTTCCTTCCTGCAGAACCACAATAAAGACTCTTTGCCCCTATTTACCCCTCGCTCCCTCTGCATCTCCACAGACCCCAGCGCTTTCCCGTGTGGCCCTGCATGCCGTGTCATAGCCCCTGCTTCCAGGGATCCGTGAGTACAAATAACGTCTTCCTTCATGACAGTCATTTCCACGTCGGCATGCCTTACCGTACCTGATTAAAACACATTTTGGGTATCCTTGAAACACCTTTAATGAAATGCTGACTTTATGCATATGGCTTTGAAAATCGCCGGGCAATAGGAGGGATTGAGAACACAAGGATAAATAAGACTCAAGCTTGGCTGCAAATTTTTCAGCATTCTGGTTGGAGGGTGTACTTCTAGCTCTAGGAAGTAAGCAGTTTAGGTGGGGAGAGAGAAGTGCTGAGCTTGTATATTTCATGCTGCAAGTTTCCATGCGGAAGACTTGGTCCTTGAAGCAATGCCTTGATAACATCCTCTCCCCATCGCTTCCTTCTCACCCAGAAGCTGGAGACTGGACTTCAGGCCTGCTGTTACATTGCCAAGCCTGCGAAACAGGAGGTCTCAGGGCTTTTTCACTAGAACCCATGGGAGAGGGATATAATAGTACATAGCAACTGTGTGCACATACACAAATACATAATCATATGTAAATAGGAAACAAAAGCTTCCACCATGAAATTTACCCTTACAAACTTTTTTCTGAGACCGAGTCTCTCTGTGTCACCCAGACTAGGGTGCAGTGGCTCCATGTGTGCTCACCGCAACCTCTGCCTCCCAGGTTCAAGTGATTCTCCTGCTGCAGCCTCCCAAGTAGCTGGGATTATGGGCACCTGCCACCATGCCCAGCTAATTTTTGTATTTTTAGTAGAGATAGGGTTTTACCATGTTGACCAAGCTGGTCTTGAACTCCTGATCTCAGATGATCCATCTGCCTTGGTCGCCCAAAGTGCTGAGATCACAGGCACGAGCCACCGCGCCTGGCCCCCATACACACGTTGATATTTTCTCCTTGCGTATCCTTTCTTTTGTTCTCTTTTGTCTGCTTTGTTATTTACTTATTTATTTATTTATTTATTTTTGGAGGTGGAGTCTTGCTCTGTCATCCAGCCTGGAGTGCAGTAGTGCGATCACAGCTCACAGCAACCTCCGCCTCCCAGGTTCAAGAGTTCTCCCTGCCTCAGCCTCCCAAGTAGATGGGATTACAGGCACCCGTGACCATGCCCAGCTAATTTTTATATTTTCAGTAGAGACAAGGTTTTGCCATGTTGCCCAGGCTGAACTCCTGACCTCAGGTGATCTGCCTGCCTCGGCCTCCCAAAGTGCTGGGATTACAGGCGAGAGTCACCGCACCCAGCCTGCTTTGTTATTTTTAATCTTGCTGGTCCTAATCTGCCAAATTCATTTCATGATTTACTAAGGGTTCAGGGAATAGAGTTTGAAAACCATTGATCTGAATATTGTGGATGAGAGAAAAATGGTGGCTGCCGTTTTCTCTCAGAGCTAATGAATAGATGAACAATCCTAATTAGAAAAACGCAAAATTTTCAGCGTTTGAGGCCCGGCTGTAAGTTTTTCCTTCCTTTATTCATTGCCTTATTCCTTTACTAGCTCTCGAACAGAGCTACCATTCTGAAGTTTTGTCAAATGGTACGCTCCAGCCAGAATTTTCATTTTAAGGTGGAATAAAGGTGTGTAGGATTTTTTAGATTGATGGCCTGGGATAAGTTTAGGGGATTGTGCATAGAAACTTCCAGGTTTTGATTATGTTTTGTAACTATGTTTTAACTATGTGTAATGCAGGCTATGGGTACATGCTTACTAATTGTATGGTTCTCTATACTTTTTATATGCCAGAATTGTTTCATAATAATAAAAAGAGAATGGCAAAAATGGGAAAGAAATATTAAACCCATTCATATAATAAGGATGAGCTGGGAAAACAGATGAGCCATCTGAAAAAGAATTTTAGGCCAGGTGTGGTGGTTCATACCTGTAATCCTAGCACTTTAGGAGGCCGAGATGGGGGGATCACCTGAGATCAGGAGTTCAAGACCAGCCTGATCAACATGGTGAAACCCCACCTCTAACAAAAATGTAAAAAATTAGCCAGATGTGGTAGTGGATGCCTTTAATCCCAGCTACTCAAAAGGCTGAGGCAGGAGAATTGCTTCAACCTGGGAGGCAGACGTTGCAGTGAGCCGAGATCTTGCCACTGCACTCCAGCCTGGGCAACAGAGTGAGACTCTGCCTCAAAAAACAAACAAACAAACAAACAAACAAAAAACAAAAAAAAGAAAGAAAAAGAAAAAGAGATTTAATGGACTCACAGTTCCACATGGCTGGGGAGGCATTACAATCATGGCGGAAGGTGAAAGGCACATCTTGCGTGGTAGCAGACGAGAGAATGAGGGCCAAGAGGAAGGGCTTTCCCTTTATCAAACCATCAGATCTCAAGAGACTTATTCACTGCCACAAGAATAGCCCCCATGTTTCCAAGGGGAAAACTGCCCCCATGATTCAATTACCAGCCACTGGGTCCCTCCCACAACACGTGGGAATGATGGGAGCTATAATTCAAGATGAGATTTGGGTGGGGACACAGCCAAACTATATCAAAGTGATATAGATGAGATTTGGGTGGGGACACAGCCAAACTATATCAAAGTGATACACTGTTTAATTTAATCCCTTGTAGTAATAGATCACCTGTTTAGAATAAATGCATGACAGCAGCAGAACCTTTTACTTCCAATCATTAAGAAGGAAGACAGAGATAGCTGTGTGTTTATAGCTACCCGAGACTTGATGAGGGAGAGTCCAGCAAACAGTCGTTGGGGAAATCTGGCATCTTCAACGCAATCTGTAAGACAGAGAAAGCTTATTAATAAGCCATATGGCCACCCTTGCCGCATCAGGGAGGCACACGTGTGGTACAGGCAGCTGTGATAGCGGCCGTGGGGCCTGGAGAATTCCAGTCCCAGGTTTTACGAGGTGTTGGTGGAGATTTGAAGCAAGCACACAGTAGCAAGCAGTCCTCGTGGGACAGCCCCACCCTTTTGTGTCATTGTTGTATTTTTCAGTCTCTCTTATAAAACTGCCTATGTCTCTGCCTTTCAGCCCCAGGGAAATAACAGCACTATTCAATAAAGCATCCGATCACCAGAAGCTGTAAGAATTATTTTCATATATGAAGAGGCATGCAGACTTAGAATGACATGCAGAAGTAGTGCTGAGGAATGGGCGGAGGGTGGGGGGAAGGAGAGAAGAATGTTGGTTTAGAACTCAGCAGAATCCCTTACCACTCATTAGTCTCTAAACCTAAGCAAGTGGCCAGGTGTGGTGGCTCACGCCTGTAATCCCAGCACTTTGGGAGGCGGAGGCAGGTGGATCACGAGGTCAGGAGTTGGAGACTAGCCTGGCCAAAACAGTGAAACTGTCTCTACTAAAGATACAAAAAATTAGCTGGGCATGGTGGTACGTGCCTGCAATCCTAGCTACTCAGGAGGCTGAGGCAGG